GGGGGCAACGTTCGCGGGGGGATTCGCGCAGGGTACGGCACATCGACCCCCAATCGCCCATTCCTGGCCGACAGGGGCCCGATAGCCCACCCCGCCTAGGAACGCTCGGTTTCGCCATCGGCAGCATGTCGCCGATCCATCGGCGATGTATCCCGCGGTGGCCACCCGTCCTGAAGCTGGACGGGTGCCTGGGCCGCGGAGGAGGAGGACAGGCACGAGGAGGAGGAAGAGGAGGAGAAGGAGGAGGAGGATGAACAGCACGAGGACCTCTCGTGCAACGAGGAACTGGAGGAGGAGGAGGTGGAGGAGGAGGAGGAGGAGGAGGATGAGGAGGATGAGGAGGAGGAGGAGGGGGGAGGAGGAGGAGGGACAGCAAGGAGGAGGGAACAGGAGGACCTCTCACGCAACGAGTGCGAAGAAGAAGAGGAGGAGAAGGAGGAGGAGGAACAGCAAGGAGGAGGAGGAGGAGGAGGAGGAGGAGGAGGAGGAGGAGGGGGGTAACCAACAAACACCCTGCAAATAATGGAGGAGAAGGAGGAGAAGGAGGAGAAGGCGGAGGAGGAGGAGTTGGAGCGGGAGAAGGGCAGTCGCTCCTGCGGGGTGCCCCCGTGCCTGGTGGGACCTCCCCCCCCTTTGCGGCGGCGCCTCTGAGAGGGGAGGAGGTCCAGCGCCGACCCGAAACATCTGCGTGGACCTCCGAAGGTTCTTGCCTGCGCCAGTTCTTGTTCCCTTGAGGTGTCGCTGGCGATGCTGCTGACCGCTCAGCTCCCGCCCGTCTGGTTCGTCCTGCTCGTCGGCATCTTCACTTACATGTACCACACCGCGCCCGTGATTCCATGGCTCTCCTCCTGTTGCTGCTGCTCTTGCTGCATTTCCTCCTCCTCCGCCTCACTTCGTTCCGTCAGTCCGATTTAGGCTCAGGAGGGATTCAGGAGGAGAGGGGAGGGCGGCGGCATCCGGATGGGAGGAGGCAGGGAGGGGGTAGGAGAGAACTTGGACGGAGGTGTTAGGGAGACGATCCGTACCTTGAGCTTTGCCTGCGTGATTGTTTCTCGCAGGGCGGAGGCCACCGAGCGGTGCGCGCCGGCACAGGGAATGGCCTGGCTTCTACGCCGTCGCTGCCGGGGAGGGAGCGCTGACCCGTGTGACGATGGAGGAGGGAGCATAGTCGCGACTTCTGACGAACAGGTGTTGTTTTTCAATTGCAGTGCCCGCTCCCTGGGGCTCGTACTCCGTTGTTGACAAGGGGAAGTCTTCCTGCCCAATCTGCGTCCCTGCACTCCAGACTACAGCAACAACGGCTCTCGCTTGAGGATTCGTCAATCCGTCTTCAAGAGCGCGCTCGCGCTCGAGACCTCATATTTCACTCCAGAATGGCGCTATCGCCCACGACTTCATTGCAATGCACTGAGGCGCTGCGCCCTCGTCGCCGAGGAACTGCGCTCTCTGTCTTTTTTTTTTTTCTCTCTCTCTCTCTCTCTCTCACGAGAAGAACTCCGAATCTATTCGGAACGCGCTCTCTCGCTTGAGGCTGTTGCGAAATTCGCAAACTTCCCTTTCCGGTCGAAGCGAGGTATGAGATCGAGATCGGTTCTGGGAGAGTGCCCTAATTTTCTTCGTGTGCGCTGGATGTTCTTGTGCATCCTTTGGGGGGGCACCCTCGCATGTGCTCCAGTCTGGGGTTGGCGGAGGGTCTCCTGCCCTTGCAGCTTGCTCTCCTGCCGTTACGTCGCGGGCGCCCCCCCCCTGGGCCGCGCACGTGCCGCCAGACATGATTTGCGCCCCCCCTCTCGGACGCCCCCCTCTCTTGGACGCCCCTGACACCCGCGGCCCACCAGCGACGCGCGCGCGACCCGCCCACATCGGAGGAAAAGTCTCCGCCCGCGGCGCGCACGCTGTGAGATGTTCCAAGCACCGCCACTGGAGGCAGCATATTTTGCAGAGGCCAGCTCGAGAGTCTCGCGGAGTGCTGGCCGTTCCTCCCCGCCCGCCCCGTTGTTCGTGTCCGTGTTTGCGGAGGGCATGGTGGAAGAAAGGAGCAGGAGGGATGAACATCATCATCATCATCATCATCATCATCATCATCATCATCAGCATCATCACATCGTCATCATCAACATCATCATCATCAGTACCATCATCAGTATCATCATCATAATCAAATTCGGCATCAGCATCATCATCAGCATCATCAGCATCATCACCATCATCATCGTCATCAGCAGCAGGGCTGACCGGTACCGGGGCCGATGGAGTCCGAAACACGCGGTGTCGAGGAGGCGGAGGAGGAGGAGGGGCTGCAGGCTGTAGAGGGAGGGCGAGGAGAGGCATCTGGAGGAGGGAGGTTCTTTGCGCTGCTCGGCCTCGACGTCGTGCTGGTGAGCGCGTGGCCTGTCACCGTGCCCGCGCGGCACTGGACCCGCTGGGAGTTGCTGCCGATGTTTGCTGGACTCGGCGCGATTGTCCAATAGCGCTGCCGCGCGCGTCCGCCGGCGCACGGTGCTCGTGCGCGTGCGACGCTGTGGAGAGTTCCAGGAGTGCCTTCGTATTTCTTCGAGGGACCGATGACTGGACACCTCTTCCTCGGAGGCAGGTCGGAGTTGCAACGGCGGCGGGTCCGCTGGCGGAAGCTGGCCAACCCGCGAGTCGCATCGCCCGTCGTCTCACCTCTCCCGGGGCCCCCGAGCTGGAAGGGTGTCAGATCGCGCCGAGACGGTCGTTTAGGAAGAGTCTCGAGAGTTGCTGGGGTCCCACAACGGTTCGAGTACACGTGCGAGTGCCCCTTCGCGGGAGTGACCTTTGGTGCGGGCCCATGGGGGGGGCCCCGATCGCCGAAGGCGGTGCGGTAGTAGCGTCTTTGCGCGCTTGTGTTCGGCCACCACACGGTCCACATCGCGAACACATTATTTTTTTTGGGGGGAATTCATTGGTCCGAAAAATACCCGTACCCGGGGCCAGCCAAGGTGAGATGGGCCGTCCGGGGGACTGGGTGCTTGCTATTGTGCCCGGTCAGCTTGCCCCGCGCGCGCCAGTGCAGCATCCGCGCGTCAAGACGCAACGGCGCGCTCGATGGTTGGGTGTCTGATTGCAGCGACAAGCGCTGGTTTTTGTTAGGGACGTCTCGGGGCATCGTGGTGCGTGCGCAGTTCAAAGCCGCCCATATGTGGCGGCGCCTGTCCCAATCGATAAAGAGTCGCATGTCCTCGCTATCCTGGCAACCAATGCATCTGGGCCTGCCCTGAGGAACGACGTTGCAATGTCGCGCCCCCAGGGGGGCCGCAGCGGCCACGTCGGGGACGGCTCTGGAGGGCATGATATGTGCTCGAGAGCGTTTTGGGCCTGCCGCCACCTCGGCTAGGTACGTGGACCTTCCTGACACCACCGAAACATACCCGGACCTAGCTAGGGTGAGTTGCGGCACCCTGGCTAGGTACGGGTATGTTCTTGGGGTTTTCATGGGGCAACCGTACCTAGCTGGGGTGATCCGCAGACGGCCGTCCAAGGGGGGCGGCCTCTGGCGACCTCGCCCAGGGCACAGATTCGCGATGTCTCTGCATCGAGCAATTCGCGATAAGGCGGTTGTCGCGCAAATGACGTTCGCGCCAGAGTTGTTCGCATGCGCCCCCGAGTGCGCGTTGACTCCTCAAGGCCCGGATGTGTGTCTGGGGGCGCGCCTCCGCAGTAGCTGGTCTACATCGACAACAACCAACGGAGGGTCGGGCACTCCGCCGGTTCGAACGCACGTGCAATCGGTGCTAATGTGCGCCCCGAGAAGACAGCGGTCTGTAATGCTCGATCGGCTGTCGTTTCTACACTTGTGCAGCCGCCGTCAGCTGCGACGAACCGCCCCCCCCGCCCCTTGCCACCCTGTCTAGGTAAGGGTACGGGTATTTTTCGCGCTCAAGAGGAATGACGGCCGCGAACAATATGACGGCACCTCCGCCGTCCTTGTCACAAATCAATGCAAAGTGGTCGCGGGGCGCCCGCGCATGCCCCATGAATTCTGCAAGTTGTCCTACCCATCTTGTGGTGTTGGGTCCTCGCTTTGAACAGACAGCACCCCGCGTTCCTTCTCACCACTCCTCCATCCCAATCCTCCCTCTCTCCTCCCGCTGCCTCCATGTTGGTGCACCCCTCACACGCCACGTGGCTCCATAGGTAGCTCCACCGAAGGCCCCAATGGCACGGTCCGCGTGCAGTTCCACCTCCATTCGGGCGCACCCCTCATTTCGTGGCCCCACAGGGTGCTCCACCGAAGGTCCCAGTGGCAGGGTTTGCATGCAACTGCACGTCAATTTCGGCGCACCTCTCACACGTCTCGTGGCCCCCACAGGGTGCTCCACCCAGGGCCCCAGTGGCAGGGTCCGCATGAAGTTCCACCCCCATTTCGGCGCACCTTCACACGTTTCGTGGCCATAGTCTGGTCCACCGAAGGCCCCAGTGGCAGGGTCCGCATGCAGTTCCACTTCCTTTTCGGCGCAACCCTCGCACGTGCGGTGGCCCGGTAAGGTGCTCGGTGCTCCACCGGAGGCCCCAGTGGCAGCGCCCGCACGCGACTCCACCCTGCATTTCGGCGCACCCTTCGCATGTTTCGTGGCCTCACGTGGGGTTTCGACGACGTCTCTGGTGGAAGCGTCCGCATGGCGTACCCGCCAATTGTGGCACACTCGTCACACGCGTCGTGGCCCCAGAGAGAGGTTCACCGAGGACGATACCCACGACTACGTCATTCACAACTTCACGCGTTTGGGTCCTTCGCCAGGATAATGTTTGACAGGAATGGTGAGTGTGTGTGTGTGTGGGGTGGGGGGGGGCATGTCTCAGGTTGGCCCACAGTCGGGTGGGGGAGGGTGTGTATATCAAAAAGGAGCAGTGATCAACACCTCCCCGAAGGGGAAGAAGGAGGCTGGAAGAGGAAACCCACTAAACCACTGACGCCCTAAAGGGCTTTTGGAATTCACACATGCACTTAAACCCATACGCGCAGCATCCGCCAGAGAATGCGGGGGCGGATCTTGGGGATTCTTCTCGGAATCCCAAACAGCACCACGATGGAGCCGTGGATCCACGTCAACCAGCTGAGGCGCCACTCGGACGTTTTGCCAACCTGGGACCCGAGGCTCGGCTGGAGGGGCCCAGGGAATGAACATATACCCATACCGCTGCTCGTCCTGGAGAGCCCTCGTCGCCACGGGTCATGTTTTTCCTCCTGGCGATAACGGGCGTGAGCAGGGGCGGTAGGAGGGCGGGAGGGGACAGGTCACGTCACGACTCGCGCTGGGGCTTTCTGGGAATGCCTTGGACTCGCTAACCCCGCACGGCGCCTGGCACGACTCGTGACGCGACCAGGGTGGGGAGGGGGGTGGCAGGGCGGGCAACGGCCGTTGTCGCGACTAGTCGTAATATGTGTTCCTCGGCTGGACTCGCCTCGAAATCCTGGTCGGAACGCGCCCTGAGGGCCAGGGAGCAGCGGCATCGGCATCTCCTTGGGGGAGCGGGGGACGAGGAGGCTGAGGAGGAGGAGGAGGAGGAAGAGGAGATGGAAGGAGGCTATGTGAACGCGGACGTGGGGTGGGGCAGCATCCGGAGCAGAACGGACGGAGGACCGATGTGTAAGGAAGGAGGATGGAGGATAGTCATTCAAGCACCCATTTGAAATTGTACCGACAGCCTTTCCTTCTCTCGATTCTGCAAGTCCTCTGATTGGAAGTGCGTCCAGTTTCGCCCGCCGAAGACTCGACCCTTTAGCACCGACCTGTGGTAATTGCCCTAGCCTGCCCTGTCTGTCCAGCCACGACCTCAGCCAGGGCGGGCACCTCGGAAAGGAGAAGGGGGGGGCAGGACCAGCGAGGGAGGGGGAATGGAGTAGGGGGGCCGACGAGGGAGGAGTGAGGGCCGACGAGGGAGGAGGGAAGGAGGAGGAGGAGGACGAGGAGGAGGAGGATGAGCGATGAGGAAAGAGGACGAGGACGACGAGGAAGAAGCTGACGAGAGGAGGGCCACGAAGTACGACCCTAGGATTCCAGCTTTGCCTCATGCGTGCCCGCGGAGAGGCGCGAGGTCCAGGAAGAGGAGCGGGCTACTGACGACGAAGAAGACAGACGACGACGGCGAGGACGACGACGAACGCAGCATCGCGAACGACGGCGAGGAGTAGGAAGAGGATTTAAAGAGAAAGATGAGCAGCTGGAGGGGCAGGAGGAGGGAAGGAGAAGGGAAGGCGGAGGAAAGGATGAGGAGGGAAGGAGGAGGAAACGAGGGGGGAAGGATGAGGGAATGAGGAGGAGGGAAGGAGGATGGAAGGAGGAGGAGGAGGAGGAGGAGGAGGAGGACGAGGAGGACCAGTGCAAACCCAAGACTCATCAACGATATTGCAATAAAGCCCTCCCTCTAAGTTCCCTCTTCGCAGGCTCCCCATGCCAGGATCCATTTCCGCTGAGGGAAGTACCTTGTTGGAAGACAATCGGTTGCTTGAAACGACCAGACTGCGTTATTGTTGCGTCTTGACGATCCTGAGTCGTGCAATGACCACCGTTCCTGGGAACTCCAACAACGCGAATGGACCTAACTATTGCGCCCTGGCAGTCCGACAACGTGCCAAAACACCCTCTCTGGGACGCTTGGTATGGAACACAAGCGTATGACACTCATACACCCATTGTTGTAAACTCTCATGAAGTGAATGTGGGCGGCGCTAAGGTGCGAGCCACGGTCTGGAGCGGAACCGCCATCCACCCACGACGTTGACTCAAACATTTAGGACGAGTGTGCGCGGCGCGAAGGCGAGAGCTACATGTTGAAAACGACTCGCCCTCCATCCGTGAAGCATTCGCAACATTTAAGACCGTGCACGGCGCTTGGGAACGGCCCGACCTACATCCGTGAAACTCCTTGCAAAGATCCAGCTTCATGATCATAAACGTGAGGCAGTCTCGGGCGAAAGGCCCCGCCCGCCCCACCGATACGAGTCGAGTCGCGACAAGGAGGAGTGATTGATAAGGAACAGCAATGGGGGAGAAAAAGGAGGAATGAAGAGGAGCAGGAGGAGGAGGAGGAGGAGGAGAAGGAGCATGAGGAGGAGCAGGGGGAGGAGGGGCAGGAAAGAGGAGGATGGAGGAGAAGGAGGAGGAGGAGGAGGAGGAGCAGCAGGAAAGGGGAGGAGAAGGCGGATGAGAGGAGGAAAGAGGAGGAGGATGGAGGAGGAGGAGGAGGAGGAGGAGGAGGGGCAGGACAGAGGAGGAGCAGGCGGAGGAGCAGGAGGAGGAGACGCGAGGCTCGCCGCGGACGCTGGCATCCTGCACTTCGCCGCGGGTGCCGCCCTCGACGTCGGCGCGTCCGCGGGATTCCAGGCCTGGCCGCACACCTACTGCGCGGCGCCAGTGGTCGACAACTCGACCGGCGATGCCGGTCATCCCTTCGGGGGCAGTGTCCTTCTCCTCGTCTCTCCTCCTCCCCATCCTTCACCTCTTTCCGCATTCCGCCCCCCTTCCATTGTCCTTCTTCCTCCCCCTCCTTATCATCCTCCTCCTCCTTCCTCCTTCTCGTCCTCCGTCCACCTCATTACTCTTCATTTTCCCTTCTCCCTCCTCCCTCGCTCCTCACTCCTCCCGCCCGCCTTCTCCTCCCACCCCCCATTCTAAGCGCTCCCAGGCGTTCCCAGGAGCTCCGAAGTTCTGAGGTTCGGAGTTCGAGCTTCGAGTTCCGATGTCTTTTCGTACGTGTTCGAATGTTCTCGGCGGCTCTCCAGCCCCAAGGTGCCTTCCAGCGGCTGGGCCTCGCCGAGAGCGTTCCGAGGGTGCCCAGATCGTCCTGGACGGCCGCTCGAGGGCCGAGTTATGACCCGACAAGCAAGGGTTAGCGTCAGGGTGGCATAGGTTGAGCGTCGGTTGAATCGGCCTCCGATCGCCTCTTCATTTCGCCGACGGGGGGCTTGATGGGAACGTTCGTATTCATTACCGGGCGCCTATTTCTCCATTCTTTTGGCGATGTCTCGCCGATTTCAGGTCGATGCTTCCCCCCTCTGGGCTGCCCTCTCCCCCGCCCCGATCGTTGTCCCTCACCCCCGCCGGGAAGTTGCCAGGAAGTGAGCGGGCGGGCCCTGGAAACGACAACATTTTTTGCACCGTTTTCGTTCGTCAGTTTGTTGCTACTGTTTCCTGCGTAAGTTGTTGTAATGTTTCTTGCGCCGTTGTTTTAACAGGTTCGTTTCACCTGAGGGGGGCCTAGTCCAGAATGCTCTTTTACAGGGTCCGAGTCGGTTTCGAACTCGTTCTGAACGTCAGTCGGACCCAGCATCGCGGCCGTCAGGATCCAGGCCGTTTCGGTGAACGGTTCTTTGCGCTTCCATGATCAAGGGACAGTTTTGCTGAAAACGGAAATACATGCCTTGCCGTTCCCAGGGCCCTTTGTTCCCTCGCCGTGAAGTCGCCAGGAAGCAGGCGGGTCCTGAGGGACAGTGTCTTCGAGAGTTTTGTTCGCCGTTCTCGGGCTGAGGGTGTGGGGAGGGGCAGCAGTCTGCTATCTCACATGACGAGGGCCGCCCTCGGTGTCGTCGAGTCCTTCTCACGATGCGAGGTTCTCAGGGTCTTGCGCTCCGCCCCCTTATCAGACATGCATGGTACGTACGCACCAGAGCAGGCGATGCCGACCCCGTCGGGTTCTTCGCGGTGGGCGTGGACTGCTGTGACAGGCGCGGCGGTTTCACGTGCGACGGGGCCGAGGACCACCAGACGTGCGGTCTTCCCTCCCGTCCGCTCCCCTGGCGTCCCCGCGCTGTGGCACAATCACGACCGGAGGTTCTGTCACGACGCGAGGTTGCATGTCCGCGTCCCTCCCCCGCTTCCCATGTTCCCGCCACCCCCTCCTCCTCCCCCATCGCAGCAGTTCTGCTTAAGTCACTGCAGAGGTTGGCAAGGCGTTGTTGTTGCGTGTGGTCTCACAGACAGTCCAAGAACACAGGCCTCAATCAGGCTCGGAGGCTTCATCCTCCCAGGAATCTCCGTCACTGTCAGCTCTGCGGCCTCTCTCTGTGGAGATTCGCCCAATCTCTGCCACCCAATCTAAATCAGATTCAACCAGCCCGAAGCATCGGAGCACTATTTGGCGCTGCTCCGTCTGGCTCGGGAGAGCGGCCGGGGCAGCATCGGCCCCAGGCGCCTCATGCACATCTTCATTCGGTGGTTCCGCCCGCTGCGGCTCCCAAGTGCTACTTAGCTTGCTGGCCGTAGCACTGCCGATTCCAACAGGGGCCCCTATGTGCAGATCTTTGGTGCGAGGCCTGGTGCTAGGAAACTTGCCCTTAGTAAGGCGGCGCAGCTGCTCACGATAGCGCGGCCCTGCCTGAGCCCCGTGGCACGGCCCCCGCATTTTAGCACTGGGCTTGAGGGCAGAGAAAAAACCTCCGCATCGAAAACAAAATGCGATGGTCTCGGCAGGGCGCTCAACTATGTGGGTACATAAAAGTGCATGCCCGCCGAGGCGCAGAGCTACCCCACAGTATTGGCTCCACGACCCGTCCCATACAAATTCAAGTTCAAGCTCATTCTGGCTGCCCAGGCGCAGGCATTCAGCTGCGCCGGCCTGGCTGCCGACGGTCGTCTCAGAAGCGCCAGCGGCAGCGGCCAGCATGGCGGGCGGCGCATCCGCACCCGCAGCTCCACTGATGGCCCCTCCTGCAGGGAGCGCTAGCGGGGAACTGAAAGGGCCCAGCACGTCCTCGTAGTCGTTCAGGCGGTTGTCCACCATGACGCCCTGCAGCTCGCCGAACCAGCGAGCACTCTCACGAGCCAGCTCCTCAAAGCCCTTCCACAGGTGGACCTCCCTGCACGTGATGACCGTGTGCATGTGGGCCCCGAGCTTAGCGAAGCGGTCCACGGCATCGTCGGCCTCCCGCTCCCAGTGCGTGGACCTCCCCGCGTCGACATCAGCAGACGCGGCATGCCCAAGAGTCTTGTGAGCTATCAGGTCCCCCAGGCTGAAGTGTCCCCACACTCGTCCCCATAGGTGAGGTCGTTGGTCCTGCGGCCTGGCACCGGCCCCAGGCCCGCCCTGCAACGTGTCGACGGTCCCCTGGCAGTCGATGTAAACGTCATGGGTGCCTGGCCAGACGAGGTCGCAGAGCATGAAGATGGCGAAATCCTCTCCGTCTCTAGAAGTCTGCCGCGGGAGCCCAGAAAGGGACCGGCCCGTAGGCGGCAGACACCATGCGTCCGAACCGATCGACCTAAATAACTGCCCAACCAGCGCGGGCCAACTCAGGGATCTCCATGTTGAACGCGCTGCCGTCTGTGAACAAAGGCCCATGCAGTAGTCCATCGGCTGGACGGTTAACCCACGAAATCAAGTCGGGGGGATCCACACGAGGCAGCAAGGGCGTCGGTGAAGGTAAGAGCCCTCGAGCAAACCTTTCTGCGCCTTCCACGCTCCACTCGCGCACGCGGGTAGCCCGGAGCAGATGGCGTGCTCCAACCCGCTCCCGTCGCAATTGCTGATGCGCCGGGCACTCGTGACAGCGATGCCACACCGTGCCGAGGCCGCTCCGGCAAAGCGTGCAACAGGCATCCTGCACGAGGCCGTGGCCGAGCAAGCGGGCCTGGCTCCAGATGGTGTTGCAGATGCTGGCCCTCAGAGCTCGCTGCTGACGCAGCGTCCAGACTGAGGTCACCCGCTGGAGAAGAGTGGTCTGAGACCGCTCCAAAACACTGGGAGTGCACCAGGATGAGCCGGCCCACCAGCCTCGCCCCCTGCGGCCGCGGCGGCGACACCCGACCCGACCCTGCAGAGGGCCATTCTGTCAGAGGCCCGGACGGCAGCAGCCTCCACTAGGGTCCTGAGCTGGTACGGCGAAGTGCGATGGAGATCGTACTGCTCCGCCGTGTCGGTCCGGACGACGGTGCCGCTGACCATATTCCAACCAACGCGGTCTAGTGTGAGGACCAAGACGTCTGCTGGAGAGCACGCCACCCGCCAAGGGGACTTCGAAGTTGCGTGCTTCCGCTGGCCAAGCTCCAAGATCACCTGCAATACCCTGGCTGCCACTGCTCCAGACCACACCGCCTCGCACCACTGCTGGAGCATTGTATAGTCTGATTGGTTTGTAGACTGCAGGTTAAGTGGGAGGGGGTGTGGGCTCAGGTAGCCATTTTGAGTCCGTAGCGTTCGGCTCAGGCCGACGCGCGGGTGTTCCGGGGGGCCGCGGTGCGGCCATAACCGCAGCCGTGCTAGTCCGCGGACTAGGGGGCGCTGCTGTGATGCCATGGCTGTGGGCTTCCTTGGGGCGCACCGGATGATCCTGGTTATGGGTGGTGCGTTCTCGGTCCAAGGGGCACTGCGCTGGCTGCCGTTCGGGCGCGCGGGGGACGAGGTCCCAGCGCCGACGCCGCCAGCCCTGCCCGGACCGAAAGCCCTACCGACAGGCGGCGGGGGGCAAGGTAAAGGGCGAGGTCCGCCCGCCAAGCCCGCGCCTGAAGGAGGGAAGGGGCGAGGGCCGCAGGCCAAGCCCCCAGGGGTGCCAGGCGCTCCCTCGCCGCCGCGGGCGAGGTCGACGACAACGACCACCCCTGCGGGCATCGGGCGCGTAGGCAAGGGCGAGCCCTCGGGCAGCCCTGCTACGCCGGCGCGCGAGGAGAGCGACGGGCCCATGGGCGCGCCTGGGCAGCCATCCGCCCCGGAGAACCGGACGGGCGATGGCGAGCTTGACCAGCCGCGCGGGTCGGATGGATACTGGGGGTGGAGCGGTTGGGTCCCGCACCTGCCCCACTGGTGGGCCGGCTGGAGCACGCCCCCGCCACCACCTCCGCCACCCACCCCGCCCCCTGAGACGGGGTCGGGTCCAGGTTGGGGCTTCGCCGCCTGGGTCTTCGAGTTCGTGGGCTACGGTGCGTGGGTGAGCTCTCCCCCGACCACGCGGGCACGATCCGCACGAGCGGTGGCTGGGTTGGATCCACCATCGATCAGCTGGGCGTTAAGATGCTCGGGTACTGGTGGGAGACCGCGGTCCTTTGCTTCGCGTTGGGCATCTTCACGTTCGTGTTGGGTGCCCTGGCCTTCATCGTCAACACTGCAGCTCAGCCTATGCTGTGGGTTGCCGGGGGGCTCCGCTGGGCGTGGTACCAGATTGCCCGGTGCTGCCAGCGGCGCGGAGGCGACGGGCCCGGCGCCCACCTCCCCCCACCCCCTCCAGCGCCTCTGCTGGTGCGCTGGCGCGGGCCGGGGTTAGGCGGCGCGGTGGCAGCGGAGTTCTACGCAAAGGGGGTGCGCGGCCGGGGGACTAATCAGGCGTGCAACCACGTGCTCCTGCGTAAGCACGGGCAGGTGGCCCGTGTCAGCTGTAACTTCGCGGACCGGTATCGGCTGGATCGCCACGGACTCAACATTGAGATCGGGCAGGTCCTGGGGTGCACCAGTCGCAAGTGGCGGCTGAACCTCGAGGAGACCGGGCCGTCGAGTGCGCCTCATGCCCGGTGGCGCATCCCATGCATGTCGACCAGTACGCGGCCATCGACCACACGCAGATCGTTTGGCTGAGCACGGTAAGGCTACAGCTTGCCGGGCAGTCGGCGTGGGGCTCCGGAAGGTATTCGGGGTCCTCAAATGGCTGCTCTGCCTGCCCTGGTCGGTGTTCGGATGGCTGTACCGGGCTCGGCCGGAGCCCCGCTACATCGCCGACGCCACGGGTTGCCGCCGCTTGGATATCGATTCGGAGAGCGAGGTGCAGGCTGAGGAGCGCCCCTGCCAAGCCGCACAAGTTGGGGTGCAGCTAGCAGGCGGCGCACGCCCCCTCCAGCCGGAGGGGCGCGGTGACCGAGGGATGCAGGAGGCGACTGTCTTGCTTCAGGAGGATGCAGAGGTGTCGGATGTCCCTCGGCCGGGGCATTGTCTCAATGCCCAGGTGCATCTCTGCGCCCACCATGCTCAGAAGTATCGGTCCACCCTTATCGGCCGCAAGTGCAGCCTTCCCACGTGCCTCCGCATGGCGAAGGGTAGCTGTGGGGGGGGCCCGATGTGCGGGGAGCACCTTCGACGGGACGAGGGCCACACCGTACGCGTCGAGGCGACGGTCCAGCCGGGGATCCTCGGGGGCCTACGCCGTCGCATGAGAGTGCGGGCACCAAGCCCCGCCAAGGCGCGCGACTGGACCGCGCACGCCGCCGAGGGGGTAGGCGTAGCGCCAGGGGCGGCCTACCCCCCGCTCGCTGCGCCACCACCCCCCGCGGTGGCCCCATCCGTCGATCTTGAGCCCACGAGGGTACAGGCTCTGGCCTCTGGACCGCAGCCGCGTCGATCACGATCCGCGGAAGCGAGGGCCAGCGAACGCTCGCGGTCCGCCGACCGTGGAGCCCCGGGCGATCGGATCGCCCATCACGGGTGGCTCCAGGAGCCCATCCTCGCGAAGGTCTGCCCGATACTCCCAGACGATCCCCGGGGAGCCGAGGATGCATATGGCGCGCCCCCGGCGAGTCCTTGGTACATTCTACTGGGTGAATGCGAGGGGCTCGACGCACGGGGCACTGGCGGGGACGCCCGACTTGTCATCGGGGCCAGCCTCGAGGGTGTCAGGGTGGAGGTCCCAGCCAGCGAGGTCGCGCGGCATCCGCCCCCACTGGAGGGCGGGCGCTACCCGATAGATTGGATCAATCGGCTGCTGTACGAGGTCCCCCAAGGCGCGCGGGAGGTGGGGTTGCGTGTCATCGCCCGCCACATCCCGCAGGATCTG